GCCCCCGTCCCACACCTCAACGAAATAATTAATCTAATGTACTATAACGAAGAAATCTACTACCATGTGTTCAAAATATTCATCTCTAAAAGTTATGGCGGTTAAACTACTGCGATCGGTTTTTTTGTAGGCCACGTAGAACGAAATTATCATTTTGTATCGTTTAACGGGATTTGGAGTAGCTTTGTCTGTTTTTTTCCCTTTTTCAGATTGAAACAGATTTAAGTGCACCTCACCCCAGTCCCCCTCCTTACCTGAGCGCAGATAGAAAAACTATGTATAAGATTCATGCAGATCATGATCACCTTCCCATATTAATTAAACAGCGTAAATAGAGCATATTAAAGAGAGTACTCAAGCGCGTTTTGCTTTTTGATATTTTATTAATAGTATGAGACATTGAATCAAGTTTAATTCCCTACATATCCTTCCATCGCGATTATAAGTAATTTAACTTTCCCCTCGGCATTATTTTTAAAAAGATTTAGTCTTTAACTCAGGTTTAATTTTGATTGACTCTGAAATTTATGTACTAACGTCCTCCCCGCATGAGTCCATTGACTATTCAGCTTTGATGATAGGACTACTGGGATGGTGGTACTTCTTCAATCATGATCCGGCACACTGAATTCCATCCTGTGTAAGCGTTACCCAGTGTGTGTACATTGCACTTTCCTACCCAGAGTTCAATCCGAACTGAGCCCCGAGTGAGATTCTCGCAGAATCCCTCAAAGGAATGATGACGAAGAATGTTGGGAATTCCACCACTCCAGTCGGTGTAAAGAACAGAATCAATCGGCAAAGGACCGTTAACTTCAGTGCCATTGAACTTAAAATACCATCTGTTGCACTTTTGATCAGAGTTTACACGAATGTTCCTTGATATGAGACTTTATGGGCCGTATTATCATACAGTTTGTTGAAAGAGCATTCCTGAAAAAATTTACAAACAAGAAAATGAGCATTTATCTCCGTTAGTCAGTTTCAAATTACTTAACCAGCTGGCGCTACGATCAGTTTAACAAAATAAAACTTTCAGTGGCCAGTGTACCTTAGTTTGGCTCAGCCAAGATAATTGAATCGGTGTGATTGTATACTGAGGCTTACAAAAGGTTAAAATATGCGGTTAAAATTCTGAATAAAAAAACCATTAGGGGCGAACATTTTAACAAGTGTGGGTCAACATTTTTTGTTTGTATTAGAGAGGTGTACAGAAGAATCTCAACAATATCATTTCAAATTTAAATGCACACCA